AATTTTTCTTATGCTCTAAACAATGTAATGACATGACAAAATACTAAATTCACAAAACTGTTTTTTCCTGGTAGTCAGGAGGATATACACCTAGGATGGCTCGAGCTAATTTTCATTTTTGGGTGAACTAACCCTTTAACAATATGTTGCTTGACCTCTTCATATTTAAGTAGAGTACTATGGTTTCCAAAGTAGGACATCACTTGTTATGCCAAGGGCATATAATTTAGTAGAGATGCTATGACATGTCCCTACCAATATCCAGCAGCTACTAAATTGTCCCTAGCAATAATTTTGATCAGTTGTCCACACCAATGCCAAAATCTTACCTATTCCATTTGCATGAACTGCTCGTTTTAAAACGTACAGGTCTACTGACATTTGTTATGACATCCGCTTCAAACATTATAACTTTCGTTAACTCTACAGTAAATAAATCCACTTCCCCAGCTAATAACTCGTCAACATGCTATAGAGCTACCCCCCAAAAAAAGGGAAGTTCAAAGACAAAATTCTAAAGATATCTACTCACTTTTTCTTTGATGCACGAGGCCTAAAACTGTGAAAAATTCCGTCAATGTCGGCGAAAGAGTTAAAGTAGCCGAGTGGCGTCATCTGCTGGTAAAGACTTGTGTGTGATTAGGTGAAATCAGGTTGCATTGGCTTTGCCATTATCCAATCATGTCTGATTTCCCGGCGGCCAATTCACCTGCTGTTTGTCATCGCAATTGTTTCAGTTGTGCAGCAGTCTGAAGTGCTTTGCTAATCTCACTGATGGCATATCTGTCGTGAGTAAGCGCTGCCGTCCTAGTTGCCAAGCTGATGAATTTTGCCCCACAATTCTCTGTTTGATGTAGAGTGAGGATGACCTGCCATGTTGCAGAAAGTATGAAAATCCTGGCAATCCCATTTTATACCTCTTGTCATAATCCTCCAGTTTTTAATACTCTCATCCTCTGTTTATGAAATTAATCTCGCAGCTCTCACACTCCTCGCTCTCTTCTCTTCACGGATGATGTTATTGACAATTTCTATGTGTCTTCCTCATCAGACACATCTGCCAAAATAATTAAACATTTAGTGGAGCAGACTCTAAATAAAGCAGAAACGGGAATGTTCTCCGAGCAAAACTAAACATAATGACAGATAGGGAGTCTTCTGGCTTTGAAGATCGCAAATAAACTGTTGCTGTGTTTTAATGGCGCTTGCTATGAGGAAGGCATCTCTATTACTGCTGCTCATACTTGGATTTGAACAAGCCCCTAACTTTAGTGAACTTTGGCGTGTAACTCGACGCATTTGTGTTTCGCACATGAATTATACATATCGGGCATTTTTTTTGAGGAGAAGGGTGCTATTACATTTATGAATTATGCGTTCTGACTTATGATTTACACCGGATGGACAGTAAAATGGCTGAGAAAATACAAAAACGTAAAATGACAAATGGCTGAAAAAACATTCACATACCAGAATATCAGATTTAAATGCAGAATATCTATCACCTTTGCAAACATGCAGTAATCTGATGAAAAAGCTTTGAACAACTTAAAAACCTAGAAAGATGCTAAAACGCTCAGAACACCTTAGCAAACATGCTGTAATCTGATGAAAAACACTTTAAACACCTTAAAAACAGTGTAGAAAGATGCTAAAACACTCAGAACGACTTAGCAATCATGCAGTAACCTGATAAAAACACTTTAAACACCTTAAAACCACGTAGAAAGATGCTAAAACACTCAGAACGACTTAGCAATCATGCAGTAACCTGATAAAAA